CTGTCGATTGTTATCAATTATCGGCTTATCGGTTGACAACGCCTGGCGCAGACTCCCTCTGAAGTGGCGTGACCTCCGCAGGTGGTGTCACTGGTGTCACTTCGGTAACTCCACACGTTTACTTTTTCTGTGGAGTCCTCTGTGATTGGCAGGTGGAAGACGATCCCTCGCCCACTACAATTTGACCACCTTGCAACTCCTGTAAAATAACAGACGAAATGTTTCTTTTTTGTTCATAGAAAGGTGGAAATGCTGGAGTGAGGAAGGGTCACTATCTAGAGTGGCTTACATTTTATTTCTTTTCTTTTTTGGTGGGAAGGGGGAAGAGGTCCCGTGTTCCTCGCCTGGAAGATCCGTCATTGCATGGGGTCGAGTTTATGCTAATTTGGTTCTCTAGTGCGGGCTCCTTTCCCGAAGAGTGGTTGGTAATCGAGCCTAGGTCTCTCGAGGAACAAGTATTAAAATTCTGTCAACACGGTTTCTGTATTCTGGAGATAGAATTTACGCCTGAATTTTGTTATGTAACGAGGTGTCCGTGACGTGTCACCTTTTTTCGCAATTACCTCACGATTGCGTCTCCAGTCGACGCTTTGCGTCTGCTATTTGTTCAAGAAGACTGTGCAGTTCCTGAAGAATAAGAAAAGAGTGAAAAAAAATAAGTCATTGTGGGTTTAACCTTGCAAGTCCTAAAGAGTGACCACTCAAATGAAAACGATTGGAAAGTACTTTTGTGTATTGCTGATGCTGCTAACATTTTCAATTTATTTTGAGGACAGCGATCATCCTGCAACTCTTCAAAGGGTCCAGTTTATCAGAATTCACGCATTCCTACAAGCCTATGGGGGAATAAGAAAATAGAAATATCCTTCTTGCTTGTCGGTTTGATGTCATTTCTTTGGTGTTTTTCAACCTTTGCAAATTATCATTTCAGTGGGGCTAGCACTTGCTTCTATTTAAGGCAACCGTTTACCAAAATACCGAAAATACCAAAATACAAAATACCGCAAGAGTGATACCTGTCTCTGAGCCGTTACTTGTAGCAACTTTTCTTCCATTTTCTTCACCTTTTCTTCCATTAACTCTTGATTTTCTTTCAAAGACTTGTTTGCCTAAAATATAAAAATACAGTCCATTCTCTTTACTTATTGGCGAGTCTATACTTATAGACTTGTAGCGGGGTTCGCCGTCACTAAAGCCTTGGTAATTAATGAAGTACTGGTAACGTAGATCAATTACGACCATTTGACAGAACAGCGATCAAATCCTCTCCAGTTGTTTTTCAACACTACTTTATTTTATAGAATTCTTTACCTAAGATTACTTTGAAGTGTCCGTTGACACTTTCAAAACTTTCCGTTGTCTGTTTGAGTACTGAAGAACGACCAGGAACATGTGACCATTTTCCTTATGTTTTGCATAACTTTGGAGCGGGCTACACGGTGGAAAACAAAGACATGAATTGCGCATGCCCAGGCATTGTAGATACTCTGAAAACTCTACAAACCTCCTGCACTTCTGTTAGATCAATCTGAAGCTTCTCGGCCGTAATAACCATCTAGTAAACAAAACAACACAAAATTTTGTGTTGAGTCAATAGAAGAATTGTAGCAAGCAGCGAATCAAAGTTTATCATTTCACAAAAAGAGAGAGCCCAATCTCGCACTCGTGGGATTAAACCCAATCATCCCTTTTTGTTATGAGATAAGTTTTAGGTACGAGCGATTAGTTAGTTCAGTAGTTAGGCTCTCAAAGCCATATGGCGCAAAAGGCCCTAACAGAAAGGCCAAGACCTCTTGCAATGTTCTCTATCTCATGCGTTATTGACGTCTCAACCCAGGTGAAGCCCAATCTTGCCCGCAGTTCTCCTTCGGAACTGATCATCTCCACACCACCCTTGGCCTCTCTTGCCTGCATCTAGCATCCAGGATCTAGTATAGAACTTGTTTGGCCATATTATTGTTTTCTGGCTTTCTCTGAACGTGACTAAACCAGGTTTATTTTTCGGCCAGTTTTTCGACCATGACTTCTTCATGGATCGTGCTTTTATTGGCTACGTTTAATTCGCCGTTTATTTTGATTGGTTCGTAATTAACGCAACACCCTTCAACCAATCATAATTAATAATAGTTAACACTTACATGGCGCAATTTCTAAGAACATGTTCAATTGCGCTTTTTAGAATATTTCTTATACAAATTGCATACCATTACCTGCGCATACTTTTTGTCCACATTTTGCCTTTCTTTCTGGGCTTCAGAGAGTTTCCCGTCCAACTTTTTCCATTTATTTAATGCCTTCTTCAAGCTCTCGGCCGCAGAACTCACCTGAAATAATTTACAAAAGAAACTTCTACCCTTCACGACAAATACGACTACCTGGAAACAGGTACACCCCATGACGGTTTTCACTCAAATGCCAAAAAACTGGTCAGCGTAAAACACAGACTGCAGACTGCAGACTACAGACTCTTTGAGCATATATCGCGATATTTCCATCTTCGAGTACTAACCTAAACAGGGGTTATTCAGGCCAATCGTAATGACAGTCTGCACTCTGGTTAGCCTAAATAGCGCATTGGTTAGCCTAAATATCACTCGGGTTCGCCTGAATAACGCTCTGGTTTGCCTGTTTACAGTTAGCTCTCAATGATGGAAATGGTAACACAATTCAGCGTTCTGTATTTTACCACTGGTCTACCCTCAGTCTGCATTTTAGCCCATTAAGGTTATTTTGGGCGTCCATGTACTCTTTTTATTTTAAAATGCTGTTCGGTCATTCTAGGTCTTCTTGAAAATATTAGCACTTTTTTTGTTCATTTCACAAAAATCTTTGCAGTTGTTGCCTTTCCGAAAATCACAGGTGAACCTTTTTTTGGTACCCAAACGATATCCAATTCACCACGCTGTTTCTGAATTATAAGCACTTAAACCGAAAATTAAGGGAGTTTTTAACAGGTTTTATCATTGCTATGGTAACATATTATACTATGAAGGTGGCCAAAACTTGTCTAACAGTGACTGGACATATTTGTGATACCACTATTGCAACATCAGTTGATAAAGAGTTGTAGTACTGATCAGTACTACAACAGTACTGTAGTATTGCTGTAAAGTATAACTGCTGGAAAGCACTGGAAAATGTTACCAGCCATCTTAATTACCTGTTCTGCGGCTGCTTTTTCAATTTGAGTAGTTTTCTCATGGAAATAAAGTCTTTGGTCCTCCAGTTGACTCATCAGTAAGTATGTGTGCTAGGAATAGAAAGGTCATCAAAATTATACTAAACATGTCTGAATTTAAACAAGAAACACAATACATACATACATACACACACACACACACAC